AAATAATTTTCATACTATACTAGATTGGTAAATATTTTTTTCAATAACCCCATTTTGGTTAAAAACTCGCCTTCTTTTTGTATAATTAGTACAAAATTTGGCATATGTCCACGGGAAATGAGCAATTTCTAGTTAGGATGATTATTTTAATTTGTTAGACTATTTTTTTTTTCTATTCTAAGTAATATATCTTATTATTTTACAAACGTATATATGTTGCAATATTGTTTTTTTATATTTTATTAAATTATTTTGCCTGATGGAAAATATTTAGAATAAAATAAATAAAAGACTGATGGATGCCAGGACCTGACCTATAGGCGGCTTCAAATAAATCCTAAACGATCACGTGTTATGAAGAAAAAGAAACTTATATCTTTCCTTTGTTTAATATTGGGTAAGCTTGCTATAAATGAATCGGAGTAAATCTACACAATAATCCAAATAAGTTTAATTGGATGATCAGACTAAAGCACACACACCTACACTCGCCCAGTTAAACGATATGGAGTATCCAACATTCTTCCTCTTACTATCTTGCCTATTGCCATTCATCTATGCTATCAGCATTTCCGGCCGCCGCAACTCACGGCTTCCACCAGGACCTTATGGTTTTCCTATCATTGGAAACCTCCTAGAATTTGGCCCCAACCCCCACCACTCACTGGCTATACTATCTAAACGTTATGGTCCTTTAATGTCACTTAAGCTTGGAAGCAGGATGACGATAGTCATTTCATCACCAGATATGGCCAAAGAATTTTTTCAAACACATGATATATCATTCTCTAGCCGATCAGTTCCTAATGCTGTTCGAGCAGGGGACTCTGATAAATACTCCATAGTGTGGCTGCCGGCAGGAGATCGATGGCGAAAACTACGAAGAATAACTAAAGAATATTTGTTCTCTGTGCAACAGTTAGATGCTAGCGAATTCCTAAGAAGGGAAAAGGTACGCATACTATATTATCAATATATTTAATTATATACCCATCCAAATATTTGTTGTTGAGTTTTAGTGTCATCATGTAGTTTATATTGATTAACATTAACTAGAAACAAGTTCAACTAAATTTCTGCTATATATGCTGCATATGTATGCGATTGTAAAATAATTAATTTTAGAGTAAACCTAAAAAAATTTCCTTATATTTATGTTTTTTTTTATTGGGTTCGATGTCTATTGGAATTTTTTATTCAAAAAAGTTGGTTTAATTTGTTCCAAGCTTAGTTACTCTCTTAACACTGTTACTTAAGGACAAAATCTCTGTAAAGTTATTATTGGATCTGATTTAATGCTTCATATGTTGTTGATGAAGATGAAGGGGGAAAGAAAAGAATGACCGTCGACCCTACTTCTGCCCTCACTCTTTTGTTTTTATCACCTACAAAAGCACACTCACCCATTTGACAGTATGGTCATTTTTGGAATAAAAAAAAAGGTAAACATCATTAAATAGGGAGGCCAAACTTGGAACTTGTAATAAAGATTTAAAAAAGGATTATATATCCTAGAGACTGAACCTAGCAAATTTATATAAACACATGCATGGACCATTCTTCAACTTAACTCATAATTCTACAACAAACATTGAAAATAGAATTTTCAATATATAAAAGTAACAATCAAACTTTTCTATTACCTCCTCTATGTTAGTACAAAGTCGAGACATAAAAGATGTCTAAGACCATCCACAGCGGGACTTTCAAAACTTCTTGCAATGCCACATTTATAAATTTGAAAGCCACGTATGTTTAGCCCTTTCTAATCTTGAAAGGCTTGCAAGCATTAATGAGCACAACTATTCATTTTATTTATATATTGTATTTAAATAAGTAACTTTATTTACCATATTATACTATATTTCTATAATTTATCT